ATAAAATAGCTTGCAGAATCAAGGGGGAGAGAAAGGTATTGTTTTGACTGCAACTTCATGGCTTATATATGAAATTATAATTGAATATGTGACCACAGGACATCTTATTACTTGGACCACTCCATTACTGAGGCCCACTGCTACGGCCGCTCCCTCCTGCACCCAGGCAACAGATGAGATATACTCATTAGGAGTGGACAACTCCATCAGCTGCATTATTGTACCATTGTCTGCATTCCAGAGAAACACAGCAGTGCCCAATGCCACAGTCAGGACGTTGGTTGGAGACCAATCCAAAAGATTCAGGTCTGAGACAAACAGAAAGCAACAATAAAAAAGCACATGAAAATGAGATGTTTAGATGCTGTCTTCAATGTTTCTTGAAAATAGTGATGACTGCAATCAAGGTAACACCCAGAAATTAATCCAATGAACAATGACTAAAAAGCTTAATAAAATGGGGGAAGGGGAACAACGTGCACAAAACAGACAAATCAACGTTTTGGCTGGGGTCTTTCTCCACGCTAACTACACAACAATAACTCTCTACGCGAATTACACAACAATAACAAAGGGTGAAGTACTGCAGCTACCAGTGCTCACCAGAGAAGGGTGGTCCTGTGAACAACTGTAAATACTGGAAGAGAAAAATCTGATATGGGATGGACAAAATAAAACAAATGGTGCAAAAATAGTAATAAAAGTAACAGTGACAATATATTTGGTTATCTGTTAATCTTAGTTTCAGCTTCATAACCTACTGATCAATCCACGGTTGCTCCGCTCCTGTACCAATGGAAAACACATTGAATGTCCATCACTGTCCCTTGTGGAAAATTAACACAGACTGCAGTCTCAGCATATCTACTAAAATACACATTTATCAAAAGCATAAGCCAGGTCATGCGTGTGTTCAAGGGAACGAGCGTGCAGATTATCATGCTGAAACTGCAGTTGCTATGGCTTGCCCAGTACTGGACAGAAGTGATGTTATCAATGCTATGCGCTGCACTTACCGTACTGAGAAGCACGCCAAAGGACATGACTCCATATCCCTGTCTAGACTGATGGACATGGGGGTGCAGCCTGGAGCTGCAAGAAATCAATATTTCACTAAGAGGACAAGATGTTTCATTAACAGTCCTCATCAGTTGTTTTACACTTGTGGAGCTTTTGAGGAGATCGGAGCACCTATGGATCTGTCCGGAGTGCTGTGATGATAATCCTTTCTAATCACTAATAAGCCAGTCATCAGAAGGGTTAACACAAACAGTCTGACATTTGAAATGCAGTTCAAAATCAAAGAAAGCAGCACTTACAAACAGATCAGAAGTTGCACATGTGATTAACTTTAACTAGCTAGGGCACCACCACTTCTGTGGCAACAAGCCTCTCTCCATTTTCTGAATCTACTGCTCACAACACCAAGTTGGTCACAGTCAAACAACATTCCAAATGAAATCTGCAGCTCACAGTGTTGTGCCATATACTCAACTCAGTAGCTGGGCGACAAAACTACCTCTATTTAGTCTGCAGAGGAAAATGCAATGGCCACCATCTATCAGAAGCAAAAATGTGCCACGGCTGAAAACAGAGAAAATGCATATCCTCTATTCTGACTGGAAGTCTCCAGTGACAATACTTAATCAAAGTAGGGATAAAAATAATCCTGATTCATAAACAAATGAAATAAGCCTTGCTAAATCATGAAACTATTACCAGTCGCTGGACCTCAGAACCTGTTTGAATTTGTGGTTACATGTATTTATGTTGTGGGTGCTTGACCATCTGCAATCTTCATGACATCTGGTCTGGATGGGTTGACTGTCATGTCATACTCACTCATGGCACATGACATCTGGTCTGGATGGGTTGACTGTCATGTCATACTCACTTATGGCACATGACATCTGATCTGGGTGGGTTGACTGTCATGCCATACTCACTCATGGCACATGACATCTGATCTGGGTGGGTTGACTGTCATGTCATACTCACTCATGGCACATGACTTCTTGTCTGGATGGGTTGATTGTCATGCCATACTCACTCATGGCACATGACATCTGGTCTGGGTGGGTTGACTGTCATGTCATACTCACTTATGGCACATGACGATAATATATTTAAATGCTTGTGGCAGTCCAGTAATATACAATCAGGACCCACAAAAATGATGGGAGCAACAACATTAATGAAAACCTTTAAAGTACATTTTGCATAATACGAAGCTGAAGTACTCACAGTAATCATCTAACAAGTCTGGAGCATCAAGAACTCTTTCTGGTTCTTTTGGAATATATCGTGAACTAGAAGACTGCTTGACTGATGATTTGCTGCAACTGTACAGCACTTGTAAATTGTTAATATCAGATCCTGCAACAGAACATAAACAAGTTGCTATCTAAATCTGCAAGACAACAGTTCACACATTCAGTCAGCGTAGTCAATAAATCTGTCCTATTAAAGTGATGCAGCTGCTGGCTACAAACATTTAAGATGTCTAAACTGAAACTTGTCTACTCTGGACTGCAGAAGTCATGTTGTGGGATGTTGCCTATACTAGTATACAGATGTGTGTGGACATCGTAGCAGCTGTGCAGAGATAACCCCATGACTTGTGGTCATTTCTATTGTTCACAACGAACACACAGTGAGCTTGCTTCCATTCTTAGCTGTGGAATGCAAGTTTCCAACCTGTAAATCTCTGGGGTCCACTCGATATCAAACTCCCCCAGTAGCCAATGAAGAGTTCTTATTACAATGGTGCCAGTTGTAACCTGGCACATGACCATGATCCAGCCATCTTATATGCAGCTGTTTCACTAGTGGTCTGCAGTGTCAACAGGATTACTGCCATACTACTTTAGCTGAACAACCCCGCTTAACTGCAGAGTTGTATCAAGCTAATAATGAATGCTTTCAGTGACTGTTTCCACAATTCTCAGTCAGCACACAGGGGATGTGTTTACTCACCTGCTTGCTCATTTTGTTTTACTACAGCCAGACTGACAATACACGAATACAGCACAAGCTAAGGAAACTAAACCATGGGTACAGTGGATCTCACAGGTCTATAACACCCATCCTCCATTCATGGGCCTGTAACACCCACACTTCATTTACAAGCCGATAACATCCAGAATTCATTCATAGAACTCTAATCATCATGGATCTATAACAGCCATCCATCATGGGTTTACTACACTCACCCGTTGTGGGTCTTTAACACCCAGTCTGTGAATCTACTAGTTAGTCTCTAGATTCTGCCTCCTTTCACCCCTCTCTACTGTTTACACAGCCTTACATTTAACTTGTACTTACTGTTTGCTGCAGGAGCTTGTGTTCGAAAGCTGAGAATCTTGCACTCTTTGACATCCAAAGCATCTTTTAATTTTTCTTGATATTCCACATTAGAATTAGTTTCATCACTGACTGGATTGCCTTCCTCTCCTCGCTTCATCACTGCGTAATGGCCAAACTCCAAGTCTGTTGTGGAACGGCTTGGAATGAACCTGATCAGAAAAGAATAACATCTGAAGTTTCTAGCATTTGTTCTGTTAAACTAAGAGGCATAAATAATATAGACACCACTATCTGTTGCACTGTTAAACTAAGAGGCACCAATAATATAGACACCACTATCTGTTGCACTGTTAAACTAAGAGGCACCAATAATATAGACACCACTATCTGTTGCACTGTTAAACTAAGAGGCACCAATAATATAGACACCACTATCTGTTGCACTGTTAAACTAAGAGGCACCAATAATATAGACACCACTATCTGTTGCACTGTTAAACTAAGAGGCACCAATAATATAGACACCACTATCTGTTGCACTGTTAAACTAAGAGGCACCAATAATATAGACACCACTATCTGTTGCACTGCCACAGCTATGCACATGTCACTCAGTTGTACTAAAAACCGACACTTGTCACAACAGGACATATTTTGAGTCTGTGCCAAAAAGTGCTTGACTTAGCACAGGGCATTTTCACAAATGCTCCTCCCTAACCTGAAATATCTTCTTTCATGTCAGTTATGATGGAATCTGGGAGATTTTTTTAGCATCTCATTAAGCTCTCATGTAGCTATAAGTCACATGGCAGATACTGCCTAATGTATGAAGTGAGATGGCCAGTTTCCATCCTCTTCACACAATTCTCTTATAGCCATCTTTATGTTATTAGGTCAACCCTAGAGATAGGCAGACAGTAAAAACATCATAGGGCCCCCACAAAGACATGCAAGTGCACTAACCTCAAAGCCAGCATAGGATGTATTGAATGTAATAACAAGGTCCTCAGAAATAAACAATAAGAGATTACTGGCAAGAAAGATGACCTCAGGGAGAATGCCCAATTATACTGCTTGAACAGGGCAAACAGACAGACAAAACTGTAGCACCAATGCAAATATAGACACCACTATCTGTTGCACTGTTAAACTAAGAGGCACCAATAATATAGACACCACTATCTGTTGCACTGTTAAACTAAGAGGCACCAATAATATAGACACCACTATCTGTTGCACTGTTAAACTAAGAGGCACCAATAATATAGACACCACTATCTGTTGCACTACAGCAGTACCACAGCTATACACATGTCACTCAGTTGTACTAAAAACCGACACTTGTCACAACAAGACATATTTATCATAAGCAAAATTGAATGCTCGATAGTTTCCAAGAAAACTGTAAAAAAATATTTGCCTTTTTCATGGTAAGGGCAAAACAATCAAACCAGTGGGTCATTTGCTACGTGGGGTCACACACTGATATCAAGAGAAAGAGATGAGAATGACCAAAATGTTGAGAATACGGCACACACAGAAGAAACAAACACTGACATTTTGACAGCTGTAGTTACCAATACAACCAGGAAAAGACAAATATAATTTATGGAACAGTCAAGCAGCCAGAAACGTACACAAAATGAGAAAACGCAGAAAACATTTGATAGATGCAGAGAAAGACAGAAAAAGTATATAAAAACTTGAAGTGAGTAAAAACAGTTTCACATGAGATATGAGTCCTACTAGTGCTGTCTGCTCTAGATCAAATACTTAAGAGGGAGAGACTGACATAGGCACAGGAGTAAAGGGAAGGCAGACAAAGAGGGAGGGAAGGCAGACAGAGAGAGTGAAAGAACAAGAGGGAGGGAGAGAAACAGAGAGAGTGGTAGGCAGACAGAGATAGAGGGGGAGGAAGTATTGACATGTAGAAAGAGGAAATGCATCTGTACAGCTAGCAGACAGATGGATCTGTACAGTCCTTGAACAGGCAGAGAAGATTAAGATACAGAGATGGGGATAGACTGAGGCTGGTATACAGAGGGAGGTAAGGAGACAGACAGACAAAGAAGGTGGTAAAAAGAGGGAGAGAAAGAGACAAACAGAGGATGACAAACAGACTTAAAAAGATACAAAAAGGGAGAGAGAGTGAGAGGCAAGCAGACACAGAGAGGGAGGATGAGAGAGAAGTAGACACAAAGAGATGTAGAAAGGGAGTGAGAGAGAGAAAGGCAAACAGACTGACAGATGTAGGGAGAGAGAGAAAAAACATACTTTTAAAGAGACCCAGAGAGAGACAACAAGAAATTTTAGAGATATAGAGGAAGGGAGAGAAGGCAAACAGACAGTGCGATACAGAGGATGACAGAGAAGACAGGAAAAGAGAGAGAGAGAGAGAGAGAGAATGGAGTGAGAAAGATAAATAGATACAAAGATACAGAGACGGTGGGAGACAGACTAAAAAGAAATAGAGAAGAAGGGAAAGAAAGAAGCAAATTGACAGATATTGAAAGGTAGAGACAGAGCGGCGCAAACAGAGAGACAAGGAGGGGGGGGGGCAGAGAGATATACAAAGAAAGGCAAACAGATTCTGAGAGGTAATGAGAAGGAGAGAAACAGACAAATAGAGTTCAAACAGACAAGACGGAAGAAGTGAGATGCAGATACATAGATGAAGTGAGGCCAACAGATACACACAGAGAAAGAGAGAGAGAGAGAGGCAGACACAAGAAGTAGAGGATAGGAAAAAGAGACAGTGAAAGAGAGATCTAGAGAAATAAAGATACAAACAACTGGGCAGAGACAGAAAGCGAGACAAAAAGAACGAGGGACAGATCTGTATAGTCCTTGGACAGGGCTAGTAGAGAGATGGATTGTATAGTCCTTAGGGCTAGTAGAGAGATGAGTGTTTAGTCCTTGGACAGGACTAGTAGAGAGACGGATTGTATAGACCTTGGACAGGACTAGTAGAGAGACGGATTGTATAGTCCTTGGACAGGGCTAGTAGACAGGTGGGTCTGTATAGTCCTTGGACAGGGCTAGTAGAGAGATGGGTCTGTAAAGTCCTTGGACAGGGTTAGTAGAAAGATGGGTCTGTATAGTCCTTGAACAGGACTAGTAGAGGGATTGTATAGTCCTTGGACAGGGCTAGTAGAGAGACGGATTGTAGACCTTAGACAGGACTAGCAGAGAGACGGATTTTAAAGTCCTTGGACAGGACTAGTAGAGAGACGGATTGTATAGTCCTCGGACAGGACTAGTAAAGTGATGAGTTTGTATATTCCTTGGACAGGACTAGTGGAGAGACAGAGGTAAAACTACCTGTCTGGCTGGCGACCCGGTGTTTTGTTGCCAGGAGTCTTGGTTTTCTTGCTGCTCCGAACTCCATTGGGACAGTTTGTTTGACTTTCTATAACCTTGGTTCCGGGAGTTTTTGGCGTCTTAGTTCCATTCCCAGGAGTTGTAGAAGGAACAGTTTTCATTGGAGTTTTGTTTCTGGACTTTAGAGGTGATGACACGCCTGACATGGGAATTCGATACACATGAGAAACACATACCAAAATAATTTCACACGACAAAACTGCATTTTTTTTTTACAAACACATGCAAAACAGAATTACTGATAACAAATGACAGGCACAGCTATTGATGAAATGCAAAGGCAACTTTTCAATTAATTCTACATCACTCCTTCCATGTTAACACCTTTTTGCTGAATTATAATTAATGATTAGTTTCAAGTCTTAGTCAAGTTGACAAAGAAAATGTGTTTCATAGACGGTACATTAAATAATATTATATAGCAGCCTATGAGGACTTGCATGGGATTTAATTCTGATATTGTGCTTGTTAATTCAGTCAGTCTGAACAAGCATGAGGTGGTGATAAAAAGTTTGTTGGAGTGAAAATTCTGAAATATCTGGCACCCTATTTTTAAAGCTAAGAAAAAATCCATCCACTTCTAGGGATCAAACCAGACCATTTTCTTGGCAGGCAAGTGCACTGACTACAACAGATATAATGTAGCAACTATCAAATAGTGCATCAGGTTACCACTGACACTTCTCACCTGCCTATGTCTCAGTGAAGTCACTAGAACAGCAAGACTAACTGTCTATGTCTCAGTGAAGTCACTAGAACAGCAAGACTAACTGTCTATGTCTCAGTGAAGTCACTAGAACAGCAAGACTAACTGCCTATGTCTCAGTGAAGTCACTAGAACAGCAAGACTAACTGCCTATGTCTCAGTGAAGTCACTAGAACAGCAAGACTAACTGTCTATGTCTCAGTGAAGTCACTAGAACAGCAAGACTAACTGCCTATGTCTCAGTGAAGTCACTAGAACAGCAAGACTAACTGCCTATGTCTCAGTGAAGTCACTAGAACAGCAAGACTAACTGCCTATGTCTCAGTGAAGTCACTTGAACAGCAAGACTGTCTATGTCTCAGTGAAGTCACTAGAACAGCAAGACTAACTGTCTATGTCTCAGTGAAGTCACTAGAACAGCAAGACTAACTGTCTATGTCTCAGTGAAGTCACTAGAACAGCAAGACTGACTATGTCTCAGTGAAGTCACTAGAACAGCAAGACTAACTGCCTATGTCTCAGTGAAGTCACTAGAACAGCAAGACTGTCTATGTCTCAGTAAAGTCACTAGAACAGCAAGACTAACTATGTCTCAGCGAAGTCACTTGAACAGCAAGACTGACTGTCTATGTCTCAGTGAAGTCACTTGAACAGCAAGACTGACTGTCTATGTCTCAGTGAAGTCACTAGAACAGCAAGACTAACTGTCTATGTCTCAGTGAAGTCACTTGAACAGCAAGACTAACTGTCTATGTCTCAGTGAAGTCACTAGAACAGCAAGACTAACTGTCTATGTCTCAGTGAAGTCACTAGAACAGCAAGACTAACTGCCTATGTCTCAGTGAAGTCACTAGAACAGCAAGACTAACTATGTCTCAGTGAAGTCACTAGAACAGCAAGACTAACTGCCTATGTCTCAGTGAAGTCACTAGAACAGCAAGACTAACTGTCTATGTCTCAGTGAAGTCACTAGAACAGCAAGACTAACTGCCTATGTCTCAGTGAAGTCACTAGAACAGCAAGACTAACTATGTCTCAGTGAAGTCACTAGAACAGCAAGACTAACTGTCTATGTCTCAGTGAAGTCACTTGAACAGCAAGACTAACTGCCTATGTCTCAGTGAAGTCACTTGAACAGCAACACTAACTGCCTATGTCTCAGTGAAGTCACTTGAACAGCAAGACTGTCTATGTCTCAGTGAAGTCACTTGAACAGCAAGACTAACTGTCTATGTCTCAGTGAAGTCACTTGAACAGCAAGACTGTCTATGTCTCAGTGAAGTCACTAGAACAGCAAGACTAACTGCCTATGTCTCAGTGAAGTCACTTGAACAGCAAGACTGTCTATGTCTCAGTGAAGTCACTAGAACAGCAACACTAACTGTCTATGTCTCAGCCAAGTCACTAGAACAGCAAGACTAACTATGTCTCAGTGAAGTCACTAGAACAGCAAGACTAACTGTCTATGTCTCAGCGAAGTCACTAGAACAGCAAGACTAACTATGTCTCAGTGAAGTTACTTGAACAGCAACACTAACTGTCTATGTCTCAGTGAAGTCTATAAATGTTTAATTAATTCAGTACATAGGATTTACTGGTTACTCTTTGCATGATATGTTTTTCTGAACTCTCATTACCCATTTTGCTGGTACATGAGCCAATTCTACGCCACTCTGACTCAACTCATTTCGTCCTGTAGTGTTATTATCTGAAACTCCAGGGATGACACTCAAAACCTGCACTGCAAAATTGAAGGGCAAAGCCTGAAACCAGGGTTACAGGCTTCAGATCACAAAGAGATCTATGATGGTGAGCACATTTGAGTCGTTTTTCTTCTTCCCCTTTACCTTGCCATTTTACTAACAGCTTTAGATCCAAATGTCTTATTTTCAAGTTCAATCAAGACCCGTGACACAGCCAAATCTATGGCCCCAGTATCGAGCTTTTCAGTCTTAAGTCTTCTACTGCTGCCACGAGGTATCTGACTGAGGCCTGCAGTCAAAGTCAGTCTCCACACAACAACACAAAAACAAAGACTCCTTACCTTCATCCTCTCTATGAACCCTGACAAGTGTTTCTTGAGCTTTTCTTTGCCATCTCATCATAGGCCCAGTTTGTAGAGGGCCATCCATCTTCACAAGTTCATCAATGTCTTTGGCAAACTTGAAATGTGCCATCTGTAGACCAAATATATAAAACATTACACTGTCTGGCAGAGTGACAAGCCATCTCTTCAAATTAAGCACTAATGCTTACACATAGGTCCTATCAGTCTGGGACAGCACTAATGCTTACACTTAAGTCCCATCAGTCTGGGACAGCACTAATGCTTACACATAAGTCCTATCAGTCTGGGACAGCACTAATGCTTACACATAAGTCCTATCAGTCTGGGACAGCACTAATGCTTACATTTAAGTCCCATCAGTCTGGGACAGCACTAATGCTTACACATAAGTCCCATCAGTCTGGGACAGCACTAATGCTTACATTTAAGTCCTTGTCTGAGGCAAACACTCCTAATGATGCTGATTGTGTTTTAAAATGTGTCAAGAAATGTGACACCAATTTTACTTCTACAGGCAGGAGAGTTAGTATTTAGGACCCATGGTTGAAAGTCTGTAATCTTTGCTAACTCAGCTAGCAACTCTGTTTCAATACCTCCATTCCATAGAGGGACACTTTTTTAAAGTAGTTTTTATAATTGTATTACACCATTATATTTATGGAAAACAAAATTGTGAAAATAACTCAACTGTACTTGAGAAGTAAAAAGACCAAAAAATCGAGCATTACACATAGGCAAATGTCCACCAGCTTTTTGCCTGGTAAAGTTAAACCCCAAATTGATATAATGGCTTCAACAGACAGCATAAAAACCACACAGAAAACCTACTACCTGAAGGTTTATGATCATTTGCTGGTTGTAAGAACCTCAGAATATTTTGATTTCAGCAAGTAACAATAGTAATAGTTATTTGTGACTTGCTTAAACTGCTATCCTCCAAATACTGATCCCGGTTTTTGAGGCCAAAAATATACCCTAACAAGGCCTCAGTCACATGTAAATAACGGGCCTTTTTCCGGCGACTACACAGCATACAAGGAAAAAGCTTCCGCCGAGTTAAAGTCACTGCGAGAGTATCTCCCGTGCTGCTAAGCGGGGCTAAACTAGATGGCTGGGACTCAACGAGCAGCAGCTACCACATCTCCTGCAGCTTCCTTCATTTTATTTGCTCGTGAATCCCAGCCATCTAGTTTAGCCCCACTCCGCCCGTAGCGGCGTGGAAGATACTCTCGCGGTGGCAGTATTGTCGCCCGAAAGAGGTCAGCAATTTTCATGTGACTGAGGCCCTGTTAGGGTATATTTTTGGCCTCGATAATTTGGGACCGTTATTCGGAGGAAAGCCGACTTGACATTTACTAAAATGTCAGACAAATAGTCAAATTCTCACACACACAATTATATGATTACTTTTATCTTAAATTTCATGTTCATAAATTATTCAGCCAAATAAAAACTGGTTACTTCTTCTTCTTCACTTCCTCTTTTACCGCTGTGGGTGTCGAGGGAGATATAAGGTTCTGTTTCTAGCTCTTCTGGCTGCCTCGACCATAGGAACATCGTGCTGTTGTAGAGTTTCTCTGATGTTATCCTTCCATCTTGTTCTTGGTCTACCCCGTGCTCTACGTCCTTCTTCTCTTTCCATGTATGCTTTGTATGGTATCGTGTCACAAGGCATTCTCTCTAAGTGGGCAAACCATTTCACTTGCTGTCTTTGTATGTAATCCAGAATTGGTTCTGTGCCGACTTGTTCTCTTATGATCTCATTCCTGATCTTATCTTTTATGGTCACTCCTACAGCCCTTCTCAGACATCTCATTTCCGTGGTTACTAATTTTCTTTTATGGTTTGTTGTGAGTGACCATGTCTGGCACTGGTAGCACAGAGTTGGAATAAATATGCTTTCAATAAGATGTCTCTTTGTGCTCATTGGGATTGTCTTATGCTGTAAGAGGGGGGGGCTAGCTGTCCCAATACTTGGTTTGCTTTACTGCATCTATTGTCAATTTATCCAATTTCCCATCTTCGGTAAATGTAGTTCCCAGATATTTAAACTCAGATGCCTGTTTAATGCCTTTGTATTATATTGCTATGTTTAGATCTGTCTTCTTTTTTCCTATTGACATTACTTCTGTCTTTTCAGTGTTGATTCTCATATTATTTCTTTTACATTCTTCATTCATGGATGTTAGATGTTGCAAATAAACTGGTTACTACCATTCATATAATCAGTTATTTAATAATAATAGATATTTGGCTATCTTCCGAATAACGGCCCTAAATTATCGAGCCGGAAAATATACCCTAACAGGGCCTCAGTCACGTGTCGATTGCGCACTTCCGACGTCTTAAATTGCACGCTTCCGGCGAGAGTATCCCACACACCGCTAATGCGGCGTGGTTTGGGGCTAAACTACATGGCTGGGACTCACGAGCAGCAGCTACCGCATCTCCCTTCAATTTATTTGCTCATGAGACCTAGCCATCTAGTTTAGCCCCAATCCACGCCGCTCACGCTGCGTGAGGATAGTCTAGGCGGTGGCGGAAGTTGCCGGAAGTGTGCAATTGACACGTGATTGAGGCCCTGTTAGGGTATATTTTCCGGCTCGATAATTTAGGACCGTTATTCGGAGGATAGCAAATATTTTTTTATGGTGTTAACGTGAAAGGCTCACTTCAATTAACCCGTGTAACTTTGAATGTACTACTACTAACTGAATTACTTGTGTCTTCTTATTAGATTGATATTATCAATCCTATTTAACCATAAAATAAATAAATAAAAATAAATGTACTAATGACCACTAACATATATTATAGTTAGTTATAGTTACATACATTCTTATTATTAATAATGAATAATGTCAATAATGTACTATCTTACTTTTGTGAGAAAGCTAGTGAAAAGCTATCACTAACGAAAACATAAAATAATTTAGAACTAAAACTGCCAACGGTTTTGCAATGTTTGAAACGTTTAGTTAATGTTAAAGTTAACTAATTATTTTCTCGGCTCCTTCAGCCATCAGTAATAAAATTTCATTTACAAGTACAAGAACAATAATAATACATCATATCATTGACCAGCGATCGTGAACCGTTAGTTAGAGTAAAATAAAATGACAGGTTAGGAGTATTCGCAAAATTAACTCATAAAACTATGTGCGACTTCTCAACTGAAATATGTGACAACAGTGAGAATAATTTGCTTGTTCGGGTATCAAACTAGCCGAAGACAAAATGTTAGGTTCACACCGTACTTTCCTCCTTCTTGAACTTGCCTCTCTTAGCAGCAGGGAAGGTCACGTGATAATACAATTTCCGGTATCAACATCATCAGGTGCCTTGCTGACTGTCATGGGCGACCATGCCTCTCCACAATCTGCGTTCTCCTGCTGCATGTATTAGTTCATTTGATGAATGACCCACCTCCATACCATGCAACAAGACTGCCAAGAATCATCTCTTGTTGTTTTCCTCTATCCCTCCTTCTACAGATCTTTCCAGCAATCACAACATGTTCAATTTTCCTTCTCATAATATGACCGAAAAAAGGATGTCTCCTTCTGATGTCTGTGATTAGTTGTCTTCGAGCTCCCGCCTCTTTCAAAATCTCTCAGTTGTTCTTTTTGGCTGTCCAATATATTTTAAGCATTCTTCTGTAAAACCACATTTCTGAGACCTCAAGAAATTATTTGGCCTGCCTACCGATTGTCCAGAACTCACAGGCATATGTTAAAACTCGATGTATGTAGCCAGCAAGAATTTTTTTTCTAACCCTCAATGACAAATATATATTGCATAATATGTTCTTCGTTTTATAAAATGCAGTCTTTGCCTTTCATATTCTGTTTCTTATCTCAGTAATGCATCTTCCATCTGATGTTATCCATGTGCCCAGATACTGAAATTTATCTGTCAAGTATCATCTCTTGTTGTCTTCCTCTATCCCTCCTTCCCTCCTTCCACAGATCGTTCCAGTAATCACAACATGTTCAGTTTTCCATCTTCTTATAACACGACCGATGAGAGCGATGGCTGCGATGAGAATCATGGCGGCGGCAAACTGTGAGCAGCGTCATCTATGTCTTCTATACCAGTGTTTGGTCCTTTCCGTTTTTGAATAGGCGATGGCGATCCTGACTCTCAGCCATAAGCAGATGGAAAGGATACAGAACGAGGCTATGCGCATTATGCTTGGGTGTACAAGCGATACAGCATGGAGGGCTTGCGCTACCTTCTCGATTTTCCGACCATAGAAGACAGAATACATATTTCCCGAGCTCGTGCCTACCTCACAGTCAAGGCGGACCCACAACACACAACATCCATTACATAGTCAAATCAAGATGATAAAAGGCAGCAGGTTAAAAAGATGCAAATCGTGGATGGGTCAAGCCGAGGACATTATTTTACAGGTTGTTCACTTGAGGACATAGAACACGGCGAGGAGTGGGTGCAAGTGCCTTCAGAGTGATATACATCTTTTTCTGTTTGCATCGAACTAGACAGAAAATACAGACAACAGAGTCCGTCTGCTGTGGAAGCAGAAATTCAAGCCTTGATTTTCGAGAACACTTCAGAGGGTGATGCTGTCATTTACACAGATGGTTCTGTAATCCGCCACGATAGAAGCTCGTGGGTTTCACTGCTCGTTTGGAGGGAGAGTTGTGAAGGAAGATTCTGGAGCTTTTGCCGTAACTACAAGTAGTCTGACTATGGAGGTCATGGCTGTGACTAAAGCAGTAACATGGCTAGAGACACATACTTTCACTGGAGCATGCTTTTTCAGTGACTCGATCAGTATGCTCAAAAAGGTAGAGAAAGGCTGGGTCCGAAGGCAGTGGTTGGTGGCTCTACAGAATTCACAGCTAAAAAGGATTAGTTTCATTTTCGTGCCTGGAGATGTGGGAGGGGGGGGGGGGGTACAAGGAAACTAGCAGGCTGATAGGCTTGCAGATGAGGCTACTGTGAAACCCGAACAAGCCATGGACCAGGCTGATATACTGAATGCGCTAAGAGAGTTAAGACGTTTGCGTGAACCAACTGAGAACTGTAAATCTGCAACCATGGTCAGACTGCAAGAACAAATATGTTAAACTGGGTGTCGCC